AGTCCTAGGAGTGTTGCAAATATATTATGATATAGTTGCAAAGAATAAAAGTATATTCCTCATCCAAAGAGGGTACTTGGGAAATCTTAGCTTAAAAGCCTCTATTAATTAAGATTCATGAATAGAAATGGTTTGTTTATAGAAGGACTTTTGCTTGGGTCATTAATTTTTAGAAAGGTTTATAATCTTTCAGGAATTAGATTCATCTGGAAATACACAAGGGTTTGCTGACTGACACTAAAATGAACAGCTGAGTGCTTTAGTGTAGTAAGAGACATTAAGAAAACAGAATGGTTGTTAGATAAAATGTAATGTTGGGGAAAAACTGTCCTCTAGGCATCTATTTTCTTATAATATACTTGGAAATGATTTTTTTGAGAACAAATCATATGTACAGAATATGATTGTTTTAAATAGCATTCTCATTTTTCCTTTAGCACACTTTTGATTTTTTTTTTATTTTTCAATACAAATAATATATTTTCTGAGGATGACAATAATGAAAAGTTTAATAGCTAAAAAATATACCAGAGGGCAAGAATAGGGCACTGTAGAAATCTCATCTTTGCATTTTTAACTTAGGAAGGTTTTGATCTGATATAAAATATAATTTTTTAAATCAGAATATTAAAAGGATACAAATGTTTTGGTTACATGGATTGCTTTCATACTGCTTGAGTCAAAGTTATAAGTGTACCCATCATACAGATAGTGTACATTGTACCTATTAGGTATGATTTCACCCATCCCTTCCTCCCGCCTCTCATTTTCTTGATTTCCACTAAGTTTTACTTACATTAGTGCACATGAATGCTGATCTGTTAGTTCTAATTTAAAAGGGAGTATATGTGGTGTTTGTTTTTCCATTCTTGTAATACTTCACGTAGGATAATGATCTCTAGTTCATCCAGATTTTTGTGAATGATATTAATTCATTTTCATGGCTGAGTAGTACTCCATGCTGTATAGATACTATATTTTATTAATCCAATCATTAACTGATGGGCACTTGGGTTGATCCACATTTTTGCAATTGTGAATTGTGCTGCAATAAACGCTTGGATGCAAGTATCCTTTTGATGAAACGACTTTTTTTCCTTTGTGTAAACACCCAGTGAGATTGCTGGATCAAATCATAGGTCTACTTTTATTTCTTGAGAGTCTCCATGCTATTTTACATAGAGGTTATACTAGTTTGCAATCTCACCAACAGTGCATAAGTGTTCCTTTTTCTCTGAATCCACATCAGCATCTATAGTTTTGGGACTTTTTGATGAAAGCCATTCTGACTGGGATGAGGTGACATCTCATTGTGGTTTTCATTTGCATTTCCCCAGTGATTAGTGATCTTGAGCATTTTTTTTATGTTTATTGGCCATTAGTCTATCTTCTTTTTAAAAGCTTCTGTTCATGTCATTTGCCCACTTTTTAATGGGGTTGTTTGATTTTTTCTTTCTGACTTGCCTGAGTTATTTGTAGATTCTGGTCATTAGCCCTTTATCAGATACATAGCATGCAAATATTTCTCCCATTCTATAGAGTGTCTATTTGCTGTATTGGTTGTTTCCTCGGCTGTGCTTAATTATGTTTAAATTAATCAAGTCCCATTTATTACTTTTTGTTGTTGCTTGATTGCCCTTGAAGTCTTCTTTATAAATTCTTTGTATAAGCCAATATCTAGAAGAGTTTTTCCAACATTTTTTTTCTAGAATTCTTATGGTTTCATATCTTAGGTTTAAGTCTGTTATCTGTCTTGCATTAATTTTTGTGAGTAGTGAGAAATACAAATCCTGTTTCAATCTTCTCAGGTAACTATCCAATTTTCCCTGCACCATTTATTGAATATGGATTCTTTCCCCCAGTATATATTGCTGTCTGCTTTGTCAAAGATCAGATGGAAATATGTGGATAATTTTATATATGGGTTTTCTGTTCTGTTCCATTGGTCTATGTCTTTATTTTTGTGCCATTGTTATGCTGTTTTGGTTACTCTAGCCTTGTAGTTAGTATAGTTTAGATTCTGATGAAGTGATGCCTCCAGATTTGTTCTTTTGCTTGAGGTTGCTTTGGCTATTTGGGCTCTTTTCTGGTTCCAAATGAAGCATAGAATTATTTTTTCTGGATCTGTGAAAAATGACATAGGTGTTTTGATGGGGATTGCATCAAATGTGAACTCACTTTGGGGGGTATGCACATTTTAACAATTTTGAATCTACTAATCCATAAGCATGATATATTTTTCCATTTGTTTATATCATCTGCAGTTTCCTTCCTCACTTATTCAAAGCTCATTTTGTAGAGCTCTTTTACCTCCTTGGTTCAATATCTTCCTAGGTACTTCATTTTCTTTGTAGCTATTGTGAAAGCTATTGAGTCTTTGGTTAAGTTCTCTGCTTGACTACTGGTGTATACGAATGCTATTAAATTATTCCATAGCATTGAGAAGGAAAAGGAATCCTCCAAACTAGTTCTACAAAACCAGTAACACCTGGATACCAAAGCCAGGAAAGGACACAACAACAAAACTGTAGATCAATATCCCTATGAATATAAATGAAAAAATTCTCAGTAAAATTCTAGGAAACCTAATTCAGTAGCACATCAATAAAATAATCCATCACTACTAAGTGGGATTTATTCTGGGGATGCAAGGATGGCTCGACATACATAAATCTGTAAATGTCATTCAACACATAAACAGAAGCAAAAACAAAGATTATATGATCATCTCAATAGATGCAGAAAGAATATTTACAAAATTCAGCTCTCTTTTGTGGTAAAAACTCTTTAAAAATAGGCATACATGTAATATATCTCAAAATTATAAATATTATATAGGACAACCTCACAGCCCACATCATCCTGAATGGGAAAAAGTTGAAAGCATTCCCACTCAGAACTCGAACTAGACAAGGATGTTCACTATCACCACTTATATTCAACATAGTACTGAAAGTTCTAGCCAGAGCAAGCAAGCAAGAGAAGGAAATTAAGGGTATCCAAATGGGGAAAGAGGTAGTCAAACTATTATTTTTTGCTGGTGATAGGATCTTAAATCTAGAAAACCCCAAAGATTCCTCCAGGAGAATCCTGGAATTGATAAATTTGGCACAGTCTTAGGTTACAAAATCAACAAAACATGATATTTTAATTTGTAAATCTAATTTCCTGTGCAACTTAAAATATATTCTATACTCACATATTCTGTACTCATTATTTGCCTAGTGTTATTAAAACTTTCTTCTGCAAAAGATATTTAATATTACTGTAACACTAATACCATCCTTCCAGTGCCTATATTATTTAAAGAAAATCAAGATCAGTCCTTCATACAGAATATTAGGAAATGTTATTCATCTCATGATAACTGACAGTATCACTGGAATAGACAATGCAGCATCCCAAACTACCTTAAGATTATGTTGACTACTGTATAATAAAATGTGTCTTAAATAGTCACAATTTACACCTCTTATGACATTATACTTATTAATAATGTCATTTCCCTCTCATGTATCTGGTTTAGATAACATTATATGCTGACCATAAATTTGACATTTGTATGTATTAATACGTGTAAGTAGAAGCCCCTTCTCCCATTTAAGCATTTACATAAACTTTTTAAATCACATTCTATGATTGGTAGCAGAATCACTGTCATAAGAGATGAGAGGAATGGGTCTTACACTTGACCTCCTCCCTCAGTTTGGAGATGTTTGTGCTCACAAGTCTCATTACTTTTTGTGACTCTTGGTCTCTTATCCAGCACCCAGAAGTGGAAACTAAATATATCTGTGCTCCTAGAGTTTTGATAAAATAAGTATTGCTTGCATCTGGACCCAGCCATCACAAAACCATGTATCAGTAATGCGGATGAATGTAAAATGGTGGGATTGTTTTAGCATCATGGTGGAGGGAGATCTTAGCCTGTGGAGTTAATCAGACCTGGGTTTGCAACCCAGCATCCTCATTTGAGCTTCAAGTTTTCCATTAAAATGGAATTTTAGAAGTTCTTTGTTGTTTTTCTCACAGTTCCATTGAGAGATATGATTTAGGTAAGCCATTTATTATAGTATGTTACATATATCATGTCTTATTTTGACTGCTACTACCATGACTAGAACTGCTGCTACCAATACTCTTGCTGCTTCTAGATAAATGATACATGTACTTCTAATAGGAAAATTTGAGTAAATATTCTAAAGGGCAAAAGGGATATATGTGATTCTTATTCCTATCTTTTTCCTTGTTCAAAGATAGATTTCAGAAAGTTATATAATCCATTCCTGTATTTGATCAACTAATACATACTGATATGAGCTCGAAACAATACAAAGCAAAACAACAGTGGCCTAAATATGATTTTACTGTAAACTAGATGCCAAGGATATTTCATCACAATTAACTTTAAGTACCCTGCCACCTACTTTCCCCATATATATCAATACTTAAAATCAATAACTTTGATACCTAAACCCATCCCATGCTGTCTAATAGCAAAGCTATTATTAGGAAAAGTTCCTTATATCATTTATATAATTTCTGGCCTCTTCCAGACTTCCTCATGCAACTGCATACAGCAAGCAGGTTGCCTAGGGGCTGCGCCCAGCTGAGGAGGCTGGGTTAACTGGATCTCCTCTCCATGTGGTCTTTCTTCCTCCAAGAGGCTTTACATGGTTGATGTTAATGTTTCAAAATCCCCAACCTGAAAGCACATTCAAGCCTCTATTTGGGCCACATTTGAGGATGTCACATTAGTTAAAGCAAATCATGTGACCAAGCCCAGTGTCATTGTGTGAGGGGAATACACAGGGTAAAAGTATCAGGAGAGTTGATTTATTGAGTGTCATTGATACAGGCACCTACCGCAACTATCATAGTCACAGTAATTTTTTTTTTTATTTTATAGAAGGGATATACTCCTAATATGTATACAAGAGTAGGATACTTTGATCATTGTCTATAGCTGAGCTAGATATTAATTCTCTCTTCTGCTTCAGGCATGAAAGAACTTCCTGTCCCTATTTCTTAGAATGGAGGAGAGAATTGAACACTCTTTTAATGAAGCCTTAATTTAGACCCTGATCCTTTATCATTGGTAAGCACTAAAGTTTCTGTCTCTGTACAAGATGAATTATCTAGTTTTATTCTGATCTTGGGTTTATTATATGTTGTACTCTCATTTTTTCCTAAATAATGATATTGATTTTTCTATGGATTTCCTATTTTAACTTAAACAATATTTTACCATATTTTAGTTGTAAAAAATGAACATAATTTTATAGTATTCAAATGCATTACAGAGAAAATAGGCAAGTGACTTAACTATGTCTTTCTAAAACTCAATAATCTACATTTATCCTTAAAAACATTACCACACATGTCTACATATACAATGGTATACATGTTTATATATGGTATATATGGAGATGCATACATACACACACACATATAAAACTCAAATGTGTTTTTTTTATGTAGCTCTAGTATAATCTGACTAAGAGTAGGAAATTTTTGCCAAGTCTTTTTATTGTTTTCAGTATAGGTAGTGAAATAATAAAGAAATAAGGTTTAATTAATCATTAGCTTAACTTCTCTCATATAAGTAGTCAAACAAATCACAGTTAACTTCTTCTTAATCATTTTTAACCTGCAACAGCACTTTAAAAATTTATTTAAAGATCTGTGAATCAATTCTACTGATTTAAAGAATGATCTAATAGAGGAAGCTTGATCAAGTGTCCTTAGTGATTTATCTTATTTCAGTAAGATTGTTTTATATTTTCTTATACAAAGCAATTTATCAAAAACACAAAAGGCTCAGAATAAGGCTGGAGGGAAAATGTCTTTCTGATCTCAACTGAAAGCTAACCTCAAGAACTTGGGTTTTTCATTTCATAACTAGGGCAGTTGAGGGGGGATTATCTCTGCCTAAGCAGTAGAGTCTTTAGATCAAACACTAAGAAAAAGAGATAAGTAAAATGATAAGCCTTAAGTAAAATATACAAAAGCAAAGCAAATGGAGAATAAGAAAACTATTGTTTTTACGGTTATAGGAGCAAAGTGAGGGACCCCAGAAGAAAGGAAGGCAAATACCAACCTCTCGGTATCTGATTTTCAGAGTCATTGAACCACATATCTGAGAATCAAATTTTTCTTCTCAAATGATTTTCTTTACAATAATAGCCTATGAAAAATAAAACCAGCTGTCTCAATAGAAAACACATTTCTTTCTCTTGCATTCTAAATGCTTTGGTTGGAAAGTAAGCCTAAGATCCCTTAGGACAGTCTCATCTCTTAGGGGAAGATAATCATTTTAGGATTTGGTAAGTGTAGCATACATTGCAACTCCTGCAAGATGTTTGAGTAGTAGTGTAGGGTTTTATGTTTTATTTTAATGAATAATTATTTCAGCTATATTCTCACTCAAATCATTACAGCTATATTCTCATCAAGAGTATTGTTATATGGAGACAAAGGAAAATCTCACTTTTTACCCATTCATTTCTGAGAACTATGAAACCAATTAGATCATCATAAATCAGCCCCTAATTTTACTCAAACAATTTTAGTATTGAAAGTTCTGTTCCTGATCAAGAATTTAGCACCAGATTCATTATACATGTAACTAAAAATAATTTATTAAAGAATTAGATTTCAATAAATATTAATAATTATTGAAATTCATTTCTCAAGTAACATGAAATAGACAAATGTATTGAGCATATTCATAGTAAACAAAGAGCGTATATTTACTGACTACTTCCTATGTTTAAAACATTAACTCTGATACTTTCATGTATCACTTAATCCTCTATTTGATCCTATCTTCTTATTATAAACAAGAAAACAGAAGTTAAATAACCAATGTGGTATAGATAGTAACATTTGTATTAATTATATTAAATACCTTATTATACTCTGTGGCTATAATTTAAGGAAACTAAAGTGTTAGTATATATAGAGAGAGAACATAAAGTAATGGTATCATTTCATCATAAACATATATGTTATAATAAAAGCTTATTTTTACTCAATTTTGCTATCTCTCTAGAATGTAAAAAAAAGAAAGCTATTTCATGACTGATTTGGATGACCCAGATACCAACTGAAAAATAGTCCAATAGAGTTCTTTTTTCATTCACAGATTTTCTTTTAACAAAGGATTACACATTCAAAATGATTAGTTAATTAATACCCTGCATTATAAAGAAAGTCAGATTAACACCCAGCCCAAGAATCTAGCTAATAAACCCAAGAATAGAAATCCTGAAATAGAGAAACAGATAATGGTGGATTGGATAGATTAGAGATTTCAACAGAATGAAGTCTTACAGAATCTTGGCAATAGACATAGCAGCTCTAGGGCTGAGATGGAGCTCCTAGAAGATCCCCCCAACGCACTTCCTGCACCCCCAGGGCTGAGATCCAGACATTGCTGAAGAGGGCACAGCTATGATCACTGATCACTGTGTGGCAGCGCCTCTGCAGTGCTGAGCCAGTGGAACTTGCTGTAAATTAGCCCTCTGAAACTTGCCAGAAATTGGGCCTCTAATATGCCAAGGAAAACTGCTCACAGAGAGATCTCTCTCCAAAGGCTACAAAATTGCCTGGAAGAGTATGGGAAAAGATGGTCACTGCAATATAGAAACAAGGTGCTGGAAAAGCTCTGTATGTTGCAAGAATCTGTGCTAGAATAGCCACCTGTGCTGCAGGAACCAGATGCTGGACAAGGAAGCTGCCAGCACTGTAGTAACCAAATGCTGGAGAAGGTGCTAGACAAGCTGCATACTTTGCAACCCATGAGCGCCAAAGCGGAAGGAACCCTGCTTCCTCCAGTGTCTCTCCAGCGCCCTCCTCTGACAAGGCTTAAATAACGCTGGCTGATACTGAATGGCCCACCTCTGCTTTCGCAGAACAAGTAATGAAGAATGAATGAATTTGGAGTTAAGGGACAATAAATTGATAACTAGGACAATGGTTTACAGAGTCCTGGGAGGTATTACAAATGGCATAGGGAAGAGAAACCAAGATCAGATGATTATGGACATGGGAGGGGCAAGTGGAAAAATTGTCTTCCATGGGATTTAGGAGCCCGTGGCCACAGAGCTGGAGGTAAATGGGGGGCCAGTGGGCCTCATCTGTATTTACAGGCGCTCTGCTCCACATTGCTCGTTATCACTGCCTCAGCTGCACTCTCCACCTCCAACCTGGTCCGTGTAAACGTGAAAAATTGTCTTCCATGAAACCAGTTCATGATTCCAAAAAGGTTGGAGACCGCTGCATAATGTATGAAAAGAATCTTCGCCCTGGATCCAGCACCTTATAAACAGTCACCTAAACCAGTCACCGTGTCTGATGCCTGTGGTCCTAGCTACTTGGGAGGCTCAGACAGGAGAATCACTTGAGGCCAGGTGTGTGAGACCAGACTGGGCAATGTAGAGAAAACCCATCACCACAATAATAGTAATAGTAATAATAATAATAATAATAATAACTTGGCTGGGTGGTGGCAAACCTGTAGTGCCAGCCAGTCAGGAGGCTAAGGTGACAGGGTCACTTGAGCCCAGGAGAGGCTGCAATGAGGCATGGTTGTACCCAGCCTGAGTGACAGAGCCAGACCTTGTCTCTAAAAAAATAGGTGCTGAACGTGTGCATATTCTCTGAGACTGTAGAGAAAAATCCAAGGAAGAAAACTTGTAGAATAAATTTGTCATGGAGTTAACTGTTTTTCTTTAACTGTCAATTTGTATAGAATCCTCAAGTTCTTAGAACCATGTGTGGCAGAAGCTCACTCTCACCCAATGGTCCTAGAAATATTACTTTCTTACAGAATGCTCTCAAAAGCCAACTTCCTTTTCTTTCTAATATTTATCTCAATTTTTAATTACATATTAATGCACAGTGCTTGATTATGCCTGTATTCCCCACTAAACTGCAAGCTTCAAGAGATCAGAGATTATTTTTGGTCTCTGTTATTTTCTGAATACCTCTCCAAGCCCGGTATGTAGTAGAATATCAATAATAAATGTTTCTTGAATGAAAGCTGAAGAAGTTATTTTATATTTTCTAAGATGATCATGATAGCCCAGAAAAAGTTCTGTCTATTCTTATCAGTGCCATTCAGGAGTAATGACATTTTCATTAATCTTATTTAAGTCACAAGTGCTTATGCTACCAATAAGTAATGCTGGTCAACGTTTTTTCTATTTACATTTTAAAATTACATGTGAGGCTCCTGCCTCCCCTTTTTCTCAGATTTGTTGTAATCTTGGCCTCTGGAGGAAGCTCTGGCACTGCACAGATCCCTTTATCTAGCATTTGTTTAACCATGATTGCTGCTTCAAGATTCTTCCTGCACTGCCTGTTCTCTTCCCAGAAAGCAAATAAGTGAGCAGAAGAAAAAGCTTGATTAAATTCTCAATGTTTTTCATGGTTGCCTACTACTCTAACCTATTTAAAATGTATATACTCACAATTTAGGTGAAGTATATTTGGGTTTTGAAGAATTTACTGACAATAGAAAGTATGTATCTGGTATGAAAATTAATACCTTGAGCTGTGACTGTCAAAATTCTTTGAACTAATGGGCCTTTACAGGGAGTGCATTATTCACAATAGTTTAAAATATGCAAACAATGCACAAAGAGATTCATAAAGCTATAAAATTATTCTAAGCTAGAACAAAATTTCCCTGATCTTTAAAGGGAGTTAGCTATTAATTTTTAAATGCTGAACATAGTTGACATTTCAAATTGAATTGTTACTAAAGTAATCACATTGAATCTCTTGGTTAAATTTTCAAAGTACAGCCTATGAAATATTCATGTTACCAAATCAAGGAAAAGAGACTTTCTTTAGAATACATGAATTTTATTTAGATAAAAAATCAGATGCCTTCTATTTAAAAATATAATCATCTCTTAATAGGAAGATGTACTTACTCTGTTAAGAAAATTCAAGTGTGTGGAACTCATGGAGTTTATGTAGTGTTTATTCTATAATTCAACTTACTGTGTATCTATTATTTGTGAGGAAGGTAATTTAAAAACTTTTAAGACTTGATTTCTGATGTCAAAGTAAACTCTAATAGTTAATACTGGAAAAATACACTATTTCAAGGAAGTGTTGCATATCACAAATGTTTCCTGTATTCAAATTTCCCAAAATGTGGTGTGCGTTTGTCACATTGAATGTGTTTATGTGGTACATGAGCCAACATTTTATAATATTAATTCATTTTTAATTTTGTATGACTGCCTTCTAATTTATTCAGAGAATATGATACTCTTTATATTTTGCAAACTATAAATCTTAGTTTGTAAAAGCAACTTGATTTTTTGAAAGCATCACATGTAAATAATAATACATATGGGACACAGATGTTTATAATTATAAAATAATTATAATAATGACTGATGATTGAAAAACAACTCTTAACAACTGCTTATAATCCAAATTTACTAGTGCTCCCTTTAAATATTAATATTACCTTTATGTCAGAGATTTCAGAAGCTCATAGTAGGTGTCCAATAAATATTTGTTGAATGGATGAATAAATGAATGGATAATGTGTATTTTTAGACAAATTATAGTTCTAATAAATAAAATCAAAGAGGATATACGTAGTGCATTTATTTTTCTAGTTAATTCTTTGTAATTTTTTTCTAATTAAGAGTGTTTCTTCAATTATCATAGGCCCCATGGAGTATTTGACAATGCCTGTGTTCCCAAGAACCTCTATACCTATTTTACCATAGGATCTCCTCTACAGAACCTACACAGAAGATAATATAACATTTATAAAGCAATCCCCAAAGAGCAAATTTCTTTTTTATTTATTTATTTGTTTATTTTTTTACTTTTTTTTTTTTTTTTTTGAGACAGAGTCTCGCTTTGTTGCCCAGGCTAGAGTGAGTGCCATGGCGTCAGCCTAGCTCACAGCGACCTCAAACTCCTGGGCTCAAGCAATCCTGCTGTCTCAGCCTCCCGAGTAGCTTGGACTACAGGCATGCACCAGCATGCCTGGCTAATTTTTTTCTATATATGTGTTAGTTGGCCAATTAATATCTTTCTATTTAGTAGTTATGAACCGGGGTTCACTCTTGCTCAGGCTGGTTTCGAACTCCTGACCTCAAGCAATCAGCCCGCCTTGGCCTCCCAGAGTGCTAGGATTATAGGCGTGAGCCACCACCCCCGGCCTAAAGTGCAAATTTCTATAATGAAAACTAGATATAGGGATTGCTCAACTTATGAATTGAATGTACTTTTTTGTATATTTGAGTATCAAAAAGTAACTTATACTATTGACTTCAATTATAAAATAGGCCATATGTCCTGGGATTTCTAGGTTTGAGGAACTTTAGGGAAGAGAAAATCTTCATAAACCGTTTCCAGGCATGTTCTACAGAAGACAGACTAGTGTTCTCGAAATGGAATGAGTTTCTGTTGAGAAGATCCGAGAGAAGGAGAGGTTTATCTTATCAAAACAGATGCCCGTGACTACTACCTTTTCTTACATTTTGTAGCAAGCTGCCTCATTGAGGTCTTCGCACAGTAAATGTCCAGTCAGGGACTAGAGGGACTAGAGAGATTTCAGGGTATAAATTAGTTTAAAGTATGTGTTTAGTTTTTGTTCTACTGAAGCTAACTCAAAAGTCAAGTTTTTACATATCTGAGCTTTAAATATTTCCCCGAGTATACTCAAATGAGTGCAGTAGCAGACAGAACTTACCTAGGCAAGTCAAAAAAGAAAAAAGAATCATCGTGATAATGCAGTTGTTCTGAAAGGGCAGACAGAATACAGGGACAGACACCTGGTTTAACATATTTAATAAGTCAAGAGGGACATTTGCCTTTAATTTCTTGTACTGAGATCTCTCATGATGGTGTTTTAGATAATAAAGTTCTCTAGCATGAAGATTTTTTTTTCTCTTTATAGTATATCTTGCCTTTTGGAATCCTTTTCCTTTTTTCCTCAGTTATTTTCAGTAAATAATGGCAAATTTCAAAAGTATATATTATTTAGTTTATGTTATCTGCCAGTATCCATTTGGCTTAGGCAAGAATCTAAATAGGATACTTTATAAATTTACATTATGTAATCTCCTGAATATTAAATTTTTAAAATATTTATTCTGTTTACCATGCACTAGATAATACTGTGTTGCATCAGGAATACAAAGACAAGTAAGACACAATCTATGGTATATGGAACTTTATATTCAAGAGGCAAAATCTAGTATCTCCCACATTTTAATTGTGAAGTGAGAGATATAAAGGTTGTATTATAATTGAAAAATGAAAGATGATGCTGGAAAGAGAAAGAAGTCTGTAGTCAAAGCATAAAATTTGCAGTGAGTAGAATCTAGGTAATTGTTGAAGAAAGTATTCATACTGAAATTATCTAGGAAAAAAATATATATACATATTGAAGAGAAGCAGTAATGGGAGAGAAAAGGGAGCCTAAGAGGGAATGTAAGAGAACTTAAGCCAAGCACCATAAGCACATCAAGAGACAATAGCATATAGTAGCATTACATACAAGAGCAGAAATTTCCAAGAACCAGAGAGGTAAAGTAGAATGAGACATTGACAATTTGGAACAGTTATATTAATCTTGAGACAACCATTTCTATAACAAGAGGAATGGGCTATAGGAAAGAAGAAGGCTTATTACTGAAATGTGTCAGGAAGAGAGAGATAAGTGACACTAGCTCAATAAAGAATTAGGAATAAACAAATGTTTTGGATTATTGTTTGTTTAGTGGTGGAAAAATTGTACTCAAGTATTTTTATGAGTTGATGGGAAAAATAAAAGAAATTGAAAACACTGAAAGAAAAAGACAAAATACGGAACAGGAAAGGGTTGAGACAGAATCCAGAGTGTAAGTAGAGGTGTTCAGTGTGAAAGGAAATCTGAGCACCTCTTTCTCTGAGATAGAAGGAGGCTTTGAAAGCGTGATCTCGTGGATAACTTTGGAGGCAAAGAAAAAGAAGCTAAGAGAGGCCTATGACATGGCAGGGAGTAGGGCTATGATAATAGAGGCATATATAATATGAAGCTAAAGATTTGAAATACAGCTGTAAGAGCAGAAAAGTCAGCAAGCTAGGGATGAGTAACTGCCTTTATCAGAAGCACTTAGAACACAGTATATGCATTCTCACTATTAGTAATTTCATTAAAAAGAAATGCTCCTTGCCTAAAAATAAAAAGTCAGAGTTTTCAGGAACACACACACACACACACACATATGTATACGTATTGCATTGGATCTAATGGTTGCATTCTCCCCTGCCACCTGTAATTGATGTGTTGAAATCCTAAACTCTAGTGTGATGGTGTTACGAAGTGGGGACTTGGGAGGTAATTGCATCATGAGGGTGGAATGCTCAGGATAAGATTAGTGCCCTTAAAAAAGGTGAGCGCTTTCTCACTGTCTTTTCACCATGTGTGGACATAAGAAATCCACAGTCTGTACCTGGAAAAGGAACCCTCACCAGAATCTGACCATACTGACACCCTAATCTCATACTTTCAACCTCCAGAGATGTAAGAACTAAATCTCTGTTGTTTATAAGCCACCCAGGCTATGGTAATTTGTTACCGCAGCCCAAACTGACTGACAGACAGACAGACAGACAGACACACACACACACACACACACACATACATACATACACCCCCCCACACACACACATTTACAGTTGATCCTTGATTAATGGTGAGGTTAGGGCCAGGGGGAATAACCCCTGTATAGTTAAAAATCCACATGTAACTTTTCAGTCCACTAAAACGTAACTACTGATAGCCTGCTGTTGACCAGAAATCTTATTGATTAACATAAACAGTTGATTACCACAAATGTTGTATGTATGTAGTATGTATTATATGCTGTATTTTTACAGTCAAATAAGCTAGAGAAAAGAGATGCTATTAAGAATTTCATAAGTAAGAGGTATGTTTACTAGACTTTAAATAGAAGTAAATCATCATAAAGGTCTTCATCCTCCATGTCTTCACACTGAGTTGGCTAAAGAGGAGGAGGGAGCAGTGCGGTTGGTCTTGTCTCCCGGGTGGCAGGGATGGAAGAAAATCTGCATTTAAGTGTACTTGCATAGTTCAAACTCCTGTTGTTCAAGTGTCAACTGTATTCTCTACTGAATCTCAAAGGCAGGTAGTTCCATGCAATTATTTCCATAAGTCATTAAGAGTCAGAAAAAATGAGAGACCTTTTAAAGTCAAGAGAAATTTACTTCTAGAAATTTTACCACCCTACTTTGGAAAGGAGCTCTAACTCCTCATTAGGAAATAATTCCATTCAAAGATTTCTCCAAACAGCATCTATTTGACAGCCTAATGATGTGGCATATAACAGCTGTGAACACAGTAAAGTGTTTCTGGCAAAATAAACATACATTTTCAATTAATACAAAAGCAGGTTTTTTAAAATATACTTTTTTATTGCTCATTCTTAGAGTTTGAACATGTAAAGCAGTTATTAATAGTGTTTTATGGTTACTAAATATTACCATTCAATATGTAATTAAATAAAAGGAAAATGAAAAAAGAAAGTACATATTAAAAATACATTAACTATATGTAATAAGAATAATGAGTTTTTAAGGAGTGAGGCCAGCTCTTGCTGCTCTAACATCCTTTTACTTTTTCATGCTGTGTGGTCTTGCTTTTCCTGGAATACTCTGCCATAGATGCAGCATGATTGGCTCTATTGTCATTCTTATCTCAGAACACATATCAGGAAAACCTTCCTTGAGTCTTTGATCTAAAAGCTTTTCTCTCACCTCACTACTCAGTTATTCTATAGTATCTCTTGGTTTTCTTCAGAGCTTTTATCATTAACCAAGATAACCTTTGTCATCTATTTGTGTTTTATTTGTTGTTCATCACTGCTTATATCCCTGACTAACACATAATTCTACAAAGATAGGTGCTGAATACCTCAAACATAGCACTAAATAAATAATAGTGAATGACAAAAATAAAATTACATATATATTCTGTATTTTATAGTTGGCAATTTACTTGGCTAAATGCATTAAAAGATGCAGCATTTTCCTAATATAGGGAATTTGGAGGCCATAAGGTCTGCTAACAGCACTTGTATTCTCTGAACCAGAGGACCTTAACCTTGACATCTTGTTAGATTGGTTTGTCCACATCAACTGTAAGGCATATTACAAGCAATGTAGTTCTAATAATAAATTATTGATGTTTATAAATAATTTTTAAATAAAATATTGTAGAACTCACATTATCTCATAATGTCACTTACGTATTTCTATGTGGGAGAAGAAGAGCATTATACATAATCAGTACAGTGTCAGTGACTGTTTCTCAGGGACTATTAGTACAGTAATGATTTGGAATTATGTAGTGTTTCTAGCATACAATTTTTTTTAATTTTGTGAATAACTTGTATGCATCCATGGGAGTGTTTTGTGCATGCTGGGAGAATCTTGTACGTGTGCCAACGTGAAAAATAGTTTGATAACTATTGTTCAAAGTTATCTTTGTTTGTAGAAAAACAGATGTTCTGGTAGGCTGAATAACCTAAGTTATAATTTTGTTGAGAGAGAAGATGATCAATGTGTCTTTGTGTCCACAGTGCCTTGGCAGTGCCTGATATAATGAATATGATCTCAAAATTGTCTCTCAAATAATCAAATTAATTAGTGAAGCAAATAAGTTGTATAATTTAACCAGCATAACAAAACCCTCTGTAATATTCGCCATGAATTGATAGAATTTACTTTGGTATTCTAGACTTTTACAGGGTGATTAAGGTAGTTATTTTCCC